ATTCTAATAATCAATTTCTTGGAAATTTCTGCTCAGTGAACCAAAGCAATTTAAATGAACGTCGGTTGGCAAATTAATTAGGCGTAGAAGGCACAGGTGAAACAGATTAGCAGGTCATCCATGCCATCTTCAGCAGATAGCTGCTGCCTAAAAATAGAGGTATGAACCTTTTGACCAACCTAGATTTCAGTGTCCAAAGCTTTGCAGCTCCCACCAGTATTCCTGGGGATTATTCCACAACCTAGTGGGTGCATCTACATGTGCAATTAATGTGAAGTAATACACTCCAGAGCTTATTGCCCCAGACTTTATTGCTCCTGGGTGTGCCGTTTGAACATGCACCCAGGGACGGCAGCACATTGAGCTGAGTTGGAGCAGCTCTGGCTGGAAGAGGGCCCCAATGGTCAGCCTGACAGCCCGGGGCTGCTCTGACCTGGCTGTGGAGGAGCTGGCTGGGCATGAAGGTGCTCCAGTGCGGGGCTAGGCAGCAGGCGGCCCCTACACTGAAGCACCAGTGTGCCCCAGCCAGCTGGGGCAGCATCTACATATATGCTGCTGTAGAGTAAAAACTCTGCAGCAAGATGACTTGTATTTACAAGTACTACCCTGCTGTGGAGTAAATTCGTTTACTCCAGCCTAATAGGGGCGCACATGTAGACGTGCAACACATAGACTGCGGAGCTAGTCTACTCTGCAGTCAACATCTTGTTTAGATGTTCCCAGTTCATGTTATTAAAAAGATTTTTCTTGATATTCTACTTCTGTTTCTTCCTTTTCAATTTAGTTGCTCCTAGCTAAACCTCCCTGCACCATGCTAAATAATCCTTCCCTCTTTTGGTGTGAAACCCTGGTGCTTTTGAAGACAGTAAAGTCAATGAATCCCATATTACATTTCGATATCATAAAATATTTGCTGATTGCACACTGTTGTGGTTCAGTAGTAGAATCTTTGTCTGCCATGCATAAAACCAGGGTTCAATTCCCAGATGCGTGTATAACTACAACCACTGAGGCACTGAACATCTGGACTCAGTCTGGTCCTTGGGTATTGTTTCAATGGACTAAAAGGAGGATGGAAGGTATTTGCAGCCTCCGCTTCTCCATACTCCTGCCTAGGCATACACGTTGAAGGTCCTGATGACCTTTCACGCATATACCATGATCCAGAAGGACCAACAGTTGCCTACTACTTGTATTTTTCCTTTTAGTTCCCATATAGCCATACTTAACCAAACTTTGTTTGTTCAGCCTACTGGTAATTTCTTTTTCCTCTTCTCTGAACTCCTCTCAAATCTGCAAATCTTTCTGTGTAACATGAGGAGAGACTTTCAAAAAGCCTGAGATCCATCAGAGGCTATATAGAAAAGGTCTGTTGCTTTCCTGCATCATTTATGAAAATAAAAAGGACACACGTTCCTATTTATGACTGAGAAAAGTCTTAAAAATGTGATAACCCCTCTTCAACTCAAATTTATTCTCCAGTTCTGCAAGGTACTACTTAAACACATACTTAACTGAACTCAGTGGGACAGCTGATATGCTGAAGGTTAGGCATAGGCTCAGTTCATTAGTAGAGACAGGTTTCATTGCAGAAAACTGATATTTCACCTAAGCATCAAGAGAACATGGTAGTTATCACTGATTTCCCCTCCTTACCTCTCCCTTCCCCTCCTTACCAACTGCCTACCCTGCAAAAAACCACAGAACTTTAAAAACGTGGAAATTCTGTAACTAAAATTCAGCAGCCAACATTAATCTTGCTTCCACAATCTGTGTGTTTGAAATACTAAAATTGTAAATTGTGTTTAAAATAGTATGGGCCTGTGTGTTTAGGGTATTACGAGTATGTATTGGGTTTTTATGACTTGTATTAGAATCATCATAATCATCGGTCATCCCTCATAGTCGAGGGTGATTGTCTTTCTTGATTGTTTTATCTGCGGGTCTGAAAATGGCTGACAAGGCCAATCTGGGATTGACAGGTTCTACTGCAGCTCAGGCACGTGTTTGCACCTGGGATGGACGGCTCTAAATTCCTGATTCAGTCCGTGACGCTGCTTCTTCTGCTCCCACTTTCCCATCTCCTGTTGTTGTCATGGGGTTTCAAAGTACTGAGATCCTTGCAGCAGACTCTTCCTTCATTTGGGGAGGTCTTGGGTGATAGCCTGCCACAAATTGATGTCAATGTTGCATTTTTTCCAAGTCAGCCTTGAGGATATCCTTAAAGCAGTTTCTCTGTCCTCCTCTTGAGTATCTACCTTGACTGAGCTGGGAGAATAAGACTTGCTTCTGGAGTCTGGAGTCGGACACCTGGATTGATGCGGCTGGCCCAGCAAAGTTGATGTTGAATGATCATCGTGCTCATGATGTTTGCTTGTGAGAGGACACTAATGTTGGTGCATTTGTGATGCACCATTGGATTTGAAGGATCCATCAACATAGGCACATTATAGGCTTAGGAATTATAGGGTTTCTCTACACAGTAAAATGCCAACATGATTGCAACACGTACGAATATGCCTAGCTGAGCTTAATCTAGCTTGCCTGGATAAGGAGAGGTAGCACGGGCTTTATCATACACTAGCCATGACTATGTAACCAGGATCCATAGAGGGCTTGTTGCTTGGTCTTGCTGAGCCCCATGTCTAGTGTAGGTATGTTAACGTGCATTATGATCACACCTTCATTTTGCTGTGTGGATAATACCCCTAGCAACACACTTGACCTTTTGGGTGGAGGGTGGCAATTTTGATCTTCACTGAGGTTTTGAATTTGGTTCAGTGGCATGGCAGTGTAGAGGAGTGCTGCTGAAGTGCTGCTGGCCTTGTTACTGTACTGGCAGACAAAATGAATGTGAGCCATATCTTCTGCACAGAAGCAGAGAGGTAGATTTCCAACTTACTGGTAGCACTGTATTTGAGTACGCTGGTCTGTGGTTGAATGATGAGTTATGTAGATCAGGACCACGGTTCATCAAGCTGGTCAAGCACATGCCTACATTTTGGCTTGTGAGTACCACCCTTCCCTTTATTGGTGCTACTTGCATGCATACCATTAAGCATGTACTTAATCAGGACCTATACGGAAGGTAAGTGGGTCAAGCTGGGTATGTGTTTTAAGCAAGGGACTTCAGTGAGGAAGGACGTTTCTGATTCTGTGGTTTCTTCATGCCCCTATGATGGAGCGTGGCCCTCAAGTTGGATACCCCACCTCTACCACCAGCAGATCTACTTCTTTGTAAAGAGAGAGGTCTTCAGGTTTCTGCTCACCAGTTCCGTCTCTGATAACATTCATGCCTTGTGTAAGTGGGGAATGTTACTACTCCTTGTGCTTATTTTCCTGAAATTTCCAAGGAATTTTGGTTCAAGGATTCTTTGTTCTGTACACTATTATTTTTCAGGATACTGTGCTCCTCACTCTCCTTATCAGGAAAAAGTAAAATTATTCATCACCCTGTTTCTGTTGCCAGTAATTTCATTTCTTAAACGTCAAGGCTTTTTCATTTTAACGGTGTACGTAAATGTAAAAAAAAACATTGATCGCTTTGAAGCAGGGGTGTCAAACTCATCTGGTCCCGCAAGCACAATGAGGTGCAGGGGGCTGGTCTGCGGGCCTGATCTGCAGTGCAAGGCTGTGTTGTCTGGCTCACGGGGTTGTAAGTCAGGCAAGAGCATCATTAATGACTGCAGCTCCCAGAGCTGCAAAAGCCATTGCTTCTCACACAGCTGCATTTCTGGCCCCTGTGCTTTTGAATCTGGCCCATGCACATACCATTGACACCCTTGCTTTAAAGGAAATTTTTGTGCCTGCTTCACCTAGAAATTAACCCAGCAGAGGAGTTATGTCTTCTCAGGGACTGAGACGCTGGTGTAGTGAGAGGCTGGAACATGGCAGTGGAAGTCTTTTTCTGTCTGCCACTGGCCACTGTGTAGCCTTTAGGCAGGTCGCCTAAAACAAACAGATACACAGACCTGGATATGCTGTATTTTCTCATACACAACATGCCCCAGAAATGCACCTGGTTTTTGAAAGGCAGAATGAAGAAAAAAGATCAGTCCTTGTTGTAAGTAACTGAACAGCAGCAGTGAGGAAGTGAGCCTGCTCACTGTTCTGCTCTCCGTGGATCACGTGTGGGTTTTGCTGTCACTTTGGCCCACAACCAGAAATGGTTTCATAGATGTATCATATCATAGGGAAGTAAGGCTGGCAGGGACCTCAAGAGATCATCTAGTCCAGGGGGTTGCAATTATTTCGGGCAGAGGGCCGCATACTGAGTTTCGGCAAGCCATTGAGAGCCGCATGACAGGCAGCCAGGGGCAGATAAATATTAATTTTCTAAATTTTTTAGGGACCCCGTGGGCCGGATAGAATGGCCTGGCGGGCCGCATCCAGCCGACGGGCCGCATTTTGCCCACCCCTGATCTAGTCCATCCAGGGTCCTTACCACATTTCTTGCATATAATGCCCACTACATTGCCAGCAGCTGGTTTTTCAGGGGAAAATGTGTGTTGTATGTGAGAGGATACAGTGGGCGGGTGTGTAGTTATGTGTACGTGTGTGTGAAAAATCTCTCTGTGCCTCAGTTTCCTTCTTGAGTGGATGGACATAGTATGATCCTGGAGACATACCTCAGAGGGGTACTGTGCCAATTGCTGATCAGTGCTTTAGCCCTTGGCCGAAAGTTCCTCTGTAGAGATCCTCCTGGTGTTAGCAGGTGTGATATAGGTGTCTCAAGAAAAATACTGGTGCCCACTTGGTCTCTGTTTATATTTCTGTCCATCTGCTATAAGTTTCTCTAGAATCCCTTGCTGCCTGCTGGAAGGTGCGTGACTTGCCATTCCTTCTTGTCTTCCCGGTGGTGTCTTCAAGGTGATATCCTTATCTGGGTGAAAGTGCTCTTTCTTTTCCTCTTCTCTAGGCCAGGTGGTTGCTGATAGATAAGACACAGACATTGATAGACAAATGATTTATGGTAATCTCTTGTAATGCTTATTCTATAGCTCACAGGATTATAAGTGGCACGATGGCAAAACTGAACAACTGATCGTCCGATACTGGTCATAGTGCTTAAACATGGCTTCTCAGGCTGCCCAGAGTTTCCTGCAGCCCCTCTCCTCTTGGATGTCCCGGGTGTATGAAGCTGTTCAGCAAGCAGGAGACTCTTTATCTGCCTCCTTGGTCAACCTGAGCAAAGTGGACCACAAGTCGGAAGACTACGGGGATCGAGACTTGGAGGAGAGCGATGGAATTTATGAGGATTACTCTGAGAGCTCGGATGATGAAAGAAGTTTGAGTCACGGCAGGGAGGGTGCGGAGTGGGCTGAAGACCTGCAGCCTGGTCACAGTCACTTCCCATTAGCAAGTGACAGCCCTGATGCGCAGGCACCGCTCTGCAGCTCTGATGAGGATCTGGGATGGTCCAAAAGAGCGAGAAGTAGCACTAACTTCCCAGAGGACAGCAGCTCTCTTGCGTCGGATAGGTATGAGGACCAACAGATGATAAACGGGCTTCCTACCATCCCTGAAGAAGATGACCAGCACCACAAGAAAACGAGGGGCCGCCAGCACAATCGTGACATGGGTGGCTCGTTAGAAAATATGAACGGGATGGCAAGCGCGACAGGTAAGTGGATAGAAAACACCCCGGCAATGTTAGCCAAGAGGGCTGATCTCTGCTGCTTTTGATTAGATTGAGTGACTAATCAGCTCGTTGTATTGCGACATCTCTGTTTCTTTGCACTAAGACAAAAGTGCTACGTGCCTGATTCTCTCCTTGGCCTTCCAGAATGAGCTGCATTGAAACAGAAGGAGTTTCACTGGTGTTGAAACGCTGCACATTGGAGGGAAATCTGTGTTAAGCATGCAGTTTCTTTCCCTGTGTTTATATGATCAGGGCTCGTGGGTCTGACATGTTACTGTGCTGTGGACTTGAGCCAGAATGTTTCAGGTAGCAGAACCCCGACGAGGAAGCTTTTAGTTCTGAGCCTTCACTTGAAGAAGAGTTTGGCTGTATGTCATTGCTATTTAAAAATCAAAAAGATATCTACTCTTGTTTCCCCTGCGTCAGGCACTTCAGGATGGTAGTTCTCTTATTTGCTCTGGATTGCTGCACTACAAGCCACATAGAAATCATAGGAAGTTAGGGCTGAAAGGAGCCTCAGGAGGTCACATCTAGTCCAACCCCCCAATCAAAGCAGGACCAGCCCCAGCTACATCATCCCAGCCAAAGCTTTGTCTAGCTGGGTTTTGAAAACCTCCAAGGATGGAGATTGCACCGCCTCTCTGGGTAACCTGTTCCAGTGTTTTACTACCCTCCTAGTGAGAAAATTCTTCCTAATAGCTACCCTCAGGTTCCCTTCCTGCAACTTGAGACCGTTGCTCCTTGTTCTGTCATCTGCCACCACTGAAAACAATCCAGCTCCATCCTCTTTTGAACCCTCCTGCAGGGAGTTGAATGCTGCTATTAAATCCTCTCTCAGTGTCCTCTAGGTTAAATAAGTCCAGTTCCAGCTCCCTCAAGCCATTTGTCCCCCTCCTTGCAGCATTTCAGGTGACTTCCAAGAGGACAACAGGCTGGAAATTATAGGAAATGGCACAGAATTTCCTTTTAGTTTTGAATCTGAATATCTGTTGTTAACATTAATGGAAATAAAGAAGTGCAAGGGTGGGGGGGCTGCCCCTAGGAATGAGTCTCCACTGCCCAGAGGGGTTGTACATGCCCCTAATGATGGGAAGTCAGAAGGAATTCTTGACCAATGCTGAGAGGACGCCCACGCTCTGAGCAGAGAGGAAAGGCTGCCACGTTGCCTCTGCGCCATCGGCTGGGTCTCCGCGTGCAGCGAGGGCGAGCTGACAAAGATGAGAGCCAGAGTCCTGACTATGTGGTATGGAGGACACGCTGTGTTAAAGCCAGGATTCAGGGGCTGGGACACCCTTCAGGCCTAAACTAAAATTTTCCAAGGTGACTTAGGACCTGAAGTCTCACAACAGGACTTCAGAACAAGGTTCCCAAGTCGTGCCTGAAAACAGGACGCAGAGGCCTTTGGTGGTTTTTTAGCCAGGTCTTGCAAAAGGCTCAGAGCCTCTCCAGACAGCAGCTTAGCTGCTTTGATGGCTGGCGGGAATCCTGAGTGCTCAGGACTACAGAGGGCCACGATCAGGCCATGTGTGTGGTTATGGTCAGTAGAGAGCCACCTTCATAGTGAGCAAATATGATCCAAAACTTGTCAATAAAATTAAATCTGCCCTTTCTCTGCACTGCCATGCCCAATGAATGAGCAAATGAGTAGGAAGGAAGGAATTGCCAGTCTGAGTAATTCCCTTCCACACTATCCCCTTTCCCCAGTCATCTTCCCCTAAAACCTTTTGGCTCTTGTTTCAGACCAGGACCAATGTCGATGCTCAGATTAGCAATCCTCACCTTCGTAGCGGTACTTGCAAGAGGGTGAGCTTCGCAAACACTGTGTAATGCAAGAACTATGGGGTATTTCCGTGGCTGCACTGCTAGGACCAGAAGGGTGCAAAATCCACCTGGCCCACACCCCCAGTTTTTTCTGCCCATACGTTAGGGACTGGGATTGCAGCTGCTTTGCCTCAGTGCCTCTCTTTGAGAATTTCTGGCCATTGAATTTGTGTTAATCCTTTGGCCCATCTGTCGATAACCCCTCTTGTCACCCACCTATTTGGAGCCTCTGTAGATGGAGCCTTACTCAACAGCAGTGGTTTTCAACCAGTGGTCCATGGACCCCTGGGGGTCCACAGACTATGTCTAAGGGGTCTGAAAAAGATTGCTATGATCAATTAGAAGTACATGAATGCCCGCACTTACAATTCAGAGGGGTCTGCACCTCCAATTGAAATTTCCAAGGGATCTGTACCTCCATGTGAAATTTTTTAGGGGTCTGCAAATGAAAAAAGGTTGAAACCCACTGCTTTAGAGAGCTCCCCCCATCCAGCACAGCCACGGCCTCTCCCATCTCACCCACTGATGCTTAAAAGATGCCAAGTATCCTGCACCCACCTGGATGAATTTCACTCCTAGTTCTCTCTCAAGAGCTTTTTTCTGTTGCCTCCATGCCAGGTACTGCCCTAAGGGCCGTATTGTGCCCCTGCAGTACTTGATGCCAATGAAGTTGCATGCATGGACCCAGAGTTGGTTACAGCACAAAGCCTTGGCTTCTCAGGTCTTACCTAAAACTTGTGTTGTGTGGTGAAAGCATTGAGCAGAGATAGAAAATGTCTGGCTTTAGGATTTGTTGCTTTTTC